CAAAAAGGGGCCGGATTTGTAAACAGTAAGGATCAAAAAGGGGATTTTTTCGGTATAGGGACTAAAAAGGGGCTTTTTCCTATAGTAGAGGGACCAAAAAGGGTATTTAACCTTTGAAAAATGGCAGACATTTATCTGTTGACTTTGATATGAACCGATGCAGAGCTGCCACCCTTCCAGTCAGCCTTTGTATATCCTTCACTGATTTCGGCGGTTCCATCTCGGCAATTGCTCTGATCTTCTCTGGATTGACCTCAATTCCCCTTCGGGACACCATGAAACCTAGAAATTTTCCAGACTCCACTCCGAAGATGCATTTGGCTGGGTTCAACCGCATTTTGTTCTTTCTAAGGTTGTTAAAGGTGTCGTCGAGGTCGGCGAGATGGTCTTCTGCTTTTAGGCTCTTTACCACAATGTCATCGACATATACCTCCAGGTTCTTGCCAATCTGGGCGTGGAAGACAACGGTTACCATTTTCTGATAAGTAGCACCTGTATTCTTCAAGCCAAACGGCATCATGACGTAACAATAAATTTCATCACCAGCATAGAACACGGTTTTCTCTTCGTCTTCTAGAGCCATTGGCACCTGGTGATACCCCGAATATGCATCCAAGAGGCTTAACCTCTCATTGCCTGAAGCCGCTTCAACTAGTTTGTCAATGCTCGGCATTGGATAGCAATCCTTAGGGCAGGCGTTATTAAGATTTGTGTAATCAATACACATTCGCCATTTTCCATTTGCCTTCTTCACCAGAACTGGGTTAGCCACCCATTCACAGTAATCAACTTTCCTGACAAAACCAGCCTGCAGGAGCTTCGTTACCTCTTCTTTGATAGCTTGAAGCCTCTCACCCCCGAAGAGACACCGCTTCTGGGCCACTGGTTTCTTCAATGGATTGGTGCTGAGCTTATGTTGAGAGACTGAATTTGGAATTCCTGGCATATCTGCCGAAGTCCATGCGAATACATCATTATTAGCTCGAAGAAAAGCTATGAGCGCTACCCTTTCCTCTGGGTTCAATCTAGTTCCGATCTGCGTCTTTCGGCTCGGATCTCTGTCATCAATAAGTACTTCTTCAACATTTTCGACTGGAGCAGCTCTGGTTTCATCTTCCGGTCGATTATCTACAATCTCAACACCCATAACTTGCTAATTATCAGAAACTTGCTGGGGAATGGCTTCGGGTGTCTGAGCTTTGCCCTTCATGGGTTGTGTTACCGAGGTGATATAACAATGCCTGGCCACCTCCTGGTTTCCTCGCAATGTTGCTATTCCCATAGGGGTTGGGAACTTCATACAGAGGTGAGATTGGGAAACCACAGCTCGGATTTCAGTCAGTGTGGGTCGGCCAATAACAATGTTGAAAGAGAACGCCATTTTGACTACAAGGAAACGGACTGAAGGAGTCACATAGGTTCTGCCCCTCCCAAAAGCCACATGGAGGGTAAGAACTCCTTCTACCGGAACAGGTTGGTTATTGAAACCATAGATAGGACCATCATACTTTTGCAACAATGCTGGATCTAGTCCCAGACTCTTGAAACAGTGGAAGTACATGATGTCTGGTGCACTCCCGGTGTCAACAAGGACATGCTGTACTTCACAGTTGTTAATCATGACAGAAGTGACCAAAGGATCATTGTGGGGTGTAACAACTGTATCGAGATCAACAGATGTGAAAGTAATCAGTTGATTCTTCCATTCAGCATCGTCAATCTTCCGCTTCTGAGCTCGGTTTTGATGTTTAACCTCCCTGACATACAGCTTCTGCTTAGAGCTCAGTCCACCTGCTTCAAGGCCTCCCGTAATCATATATATGATTCTGGCTGGTGGTGGTAGTGGAGGTGGGGTTTGTTGATATCCCACACCTTGCCTATTTGGGGGATTGTGGGCTCCTTGAGGCTGCGGCCTCTGTTCTCTAACAAACCTCGGCTGTTCAGCTCGCTGTACATACTCATTCAACATTCCCTTCTGAGCTAAACTTTCCAGTTCGGACTTTAAACTGTTACACTGCTCTGTAGTATGGCCGTGATCCTGGTGAAAATCACAATATCTGGTATGGTCTCGACTAGCAGCAGCAGTTCGCATTGGGCCGGGACGTCTCAAGTCCATCTTATTTTTGATCTACATAAAAATTTGTGACCTCGGCAAATTAAATGGAGTCCAATTAACTGGAGGTTTACCTGCAGATTGTTGTGGAGGCGCGGAGTTCGGCCTTCCGAATCTCGGTGGGGGGGTCAACACTGGACCTCGGTTCTGTGCCATTCTCATCCTTTTTCGACTCGGATTGTCATCTCGCCATTCTGGGTTCTGGTTCTTAGAGGAAGGTGGATTTTGCGTCAGGGCGTATTCCTCAGCAGTTATAAATTTCAGAGATCTGTCATTTACCTCACTAAAGGTGGTGGCAGCATGTTTGATCAAACTGTCTCGGAACCTGTCATGTTTGAGACTAGAGATTACAGCTGCAATGCCCACAGCTTGATCAAAGGAATTAACCTCCAACACCGCATCATTGAACCTGCTCATGTAGTTCTTTAGGGACTCCCCATCCCTCTGTTTAACTCGCATCAATTCGGTAGTAGTTTTCCTAATCAACCTTCTACTGGAAAACTTAGTGGCAAAGGCAGATGCCATTTCTGTGTAAGAACTAATTGACCTCGGAGGTAAACTATAATACCAAGTTCGAGCATTACCTCGCAGAGTAGAGGGGAAGATCTTGCACATTAACGCGTCAAAGGCATTCTGTGCTTGCATGCAAGAGTAAAAAGCATGCAGGTGATCGTCGGGATCCTTCGTCCCATCATAAGTCTCCAATTGTGGTATTTTGAAACCAGTAGGATAGGGTTCCAGCGTGATGTTGGTATTCAAGGGGTGAGGTATGGAATCCGCAGCATGGTGTGGGGGTGGGGCACCTCGGGGTCCAGCTACCAGCTTTTCTAAGCTATCAAGGCGGCGGGTAACATCATCAGGGATGGGTTGTGGAGCGGGTGCTATGTGGGATTGATCTTGAGATTCGCTAATAGCATGAGCAGGGTGAACTGGTTGGGGATTCTGTTGTGGAGCTGGGGGTTGTTGAGCAAGGTTTAGTAAATTAATGAGGGGATCACCAGGATTGTTTCTAGCTAGAAGCTGAGCCAGTACCAACTGAAAAACACCAAACTGCTGCTGCATGGCAGTAAGCTGAGCTGTCACCGCGTCTTGGTTGGCAGTGGAAGTTGAATTGTGAGCTGAGGTATGGGGTTGATTTTCATCTCCTCCTTCTGCATGATCAACAGGAGGGAATATGGTTGGGACCTGAGGTGAAAGTTGAGGTGGGATTTGAGGTGGGATCAGAGGTGGAAGGTTGTTTGAGGGTTGACCTTGGCCATGAGGCAGAGATGAATTACCAGCTCGGACTGATCGAGTGTGAACCATGATGAAAGAGCAACTAGAAAACTTTTAGTTCGATTCCCACAGACGGCGCCAATGTAGTTGCACCAGACCAGAAGTCCTTCTTTAGTCCGCGCTTGCACTCCGAGATGACCTGCAAAGTCCCGAGGTGGAACTCGGGGTAGACACTCCGATGCTTAAGTCAGCAATAATCGGGGCTACCTTTAGGGCGGAAATAAAAAGAGCTTAAGGTTGGTTTTCAATTACCTTTTTGACGTGGCCCGAGGGGGTATTTATAGGATCCAATGAGGAACCCACGTGGCATGCCAAGCAAAATAATCGGAGCCTGACGTGTCCATCCAGACGATTATTTCGGGACCGGGAATTTGAGAGGTATTCATATATACGGATGTCTACCATACTTGCTGTGCCGCTCATCATAAGGAATCAGGTGCGGGCATGCTTATTGTCATTGTCATGCAGCTATTTGAGCGGGAAGCTTCAGATTCATTTTTCACTTCGGTCATAAAGAAATTACTGTAGCAGTCCGAGGTTTGGCACCTCGGCCCTGTCCTTACAATTGTTTATTAAGTTAAGCTTTTTAAATATAAATGTAAATTTAACTAAATCTTCGGATCCAAGTAATTCACCCCAAGGTTTAAGATGTTTGGATTAATTAATTAAGTTTTGAGCACTAACGCCTCAGAAAAAATCCTCCCTCTCCTCAATTGTAGATGGTCCAATATATATATATATATATATATATGGGTATGTGGGTGTGAATTGCAGCTAGCTGAAGGCAACCATCCATTCAATATCTTATCAGACGGTCTTAGAGGCAAGCTGAAAGTACTCCGACCATGAAGCGGCAGCATGTCGTGGTGCTACCCAGTCTTGGCTTGGGCCACCTCATCCCTCTCTTAGAATTCTCCAAACGCCTTGTCCTCCACCATGACCTCCAGATCAGCTTCCTCATCATCACCACCACCACCGACAATTCCTCGTCATCAGCGGCAAACGGCCAACTCCTTCAGCCTTCAAACCTCCCTCCCGATCTCCACCTCGTCCAACTTCCTCCCGTTGATGTTGATAAAGTCACCAACAGTGAGATGCAAATCTTAACCCGTGTCTGCACCATCACAGAAGAGGGCCTCCGGTCCTTAAAATCGGTCTTGATGGATATAGGCATCCCGAAGGCTCTTATAGTGGATCTCTTCTGCACACAGGCTTTCGAAGTTTGCCGTGAACTTTCAATTCCCGCGTACTCATTGATCACTACCTCGGTTTCTTTCTTCGCCTTCTCCCTGTATTTTGTGGAGCTTGATCGTACCGTTGAGGGTGATTTGGCTGATCTTCCTGAACCGATTCAGGTTCCCGGTTGCGGTCCTGTGCGAATAGAAGACCTGCTAGATCAGGCCCGTATCAGGTAATTAGAAAAGAAGATCATGTAGATGCAAGCTTGTATTTCATTTTCCTTTTCATT